AAGAAGGTCACCGGGTCACCACATTGTTCATGACCCTGGGGGGTTTCATTTTTTCAAGAGTTGGTTCGATGTGATTTGAGGACCCTTATTTCAGCACTTCCAACTGTGGGTAACAATTTCATATGTAACTAAACCCCTATCATTTGTGGGACTTCTGTGAATTGTTTATCCCACAACTCATAACTTTGCAACATAATTCCACAGGCACTGTGGTTCCCTTTGTGCATCCATCGATTCACATACAAATTGATCAATTTGAATCCGTCCATATTCAGATTTTTTTTAGAAGTTTTAGTCTTATTCCATTTTTTTTGGGCAAGTATCAGTATCGCTTCAAGTGTTGCCAACAGAATATAAAGAATGCATGACACAAGCTAACGCTTGCCTCAATACAAGTCCAGCATTGATTTATTGCAACATAGTGGATCCAGTGGAAAACAAAGTGGAAGTCGCTCCCAAAAAAAATAAAACGGAAAAAGGAAACACGTGAACCATCGGCGTCGCCTTGCGAAATCTGAGAATCGCTACATGCCTTGCTCTTCCATACGCTGTCGCTCCAGATCCTCAGTAATGTTCGTTCACACAGTATTAAAAAACCCGCCAAAATAAAGATCACCAACCCCCGGAAAAAATAGTAAAACCTCCCAAAAATAAAGATGGCCGACCGCTTTTGGTGATTTTTTCTCCCGTTTTTTCTCCCCGATTTTTTTTCAATTATTCCCGCGTTTTTCAGTTTTTTCCCCAATGTTTTTTCCGTTTTTCCATGTTTTCCCGTTTTTCTTCAATTGTTTTTTAACGTGTGTTTCTTCCCCACCTGCCAGGTGAGGGTTGTTAGATTTTATGTCAGTTGCTTCCTCCTCGTCCTCCTCCTCCTCCTCGTCCTCCTCGTCCTCCTCGTCCTCCTCGTCCTCCTCGTCCTCCTCGTCCTCCTCGTCCTCCTGCTCAACTGCGACCCTCGACGCACAGTGTTCTCTGTCGGACCTCAACCACGACCCTCGACGCACAGTGTTCCCTGCCGGACCTCAACCACGACCATCCACGCCCAGTGTTCCCTGCCGGACCTCAACCACGACCATCCCCGCCCAGTGTTCCCTGCCGGACCTCAACCACGACCATCCACGCCCAGTGTTCCCTGCCGGACCTCAACCGCGAGTATCCACGCCAAGTGTTCCCTGCCGGACCTCATGTAGGAAGATAAAATGTCAGATAGAAGTGCCAGAAGATTTGCCAGGTAGAATGCCAGAAAATATGCCAGAAGATATGCCAGATAGATATGCCAGAAGATATTCCAGAAGATATGCCAGATAGAATGCCAGATCGAATGCCAGAAGATATGTCAGATAGAATGCCAGATAGAATGCCAGAAGATATGTCAGATATATGCCAGAAGATATGCCAGATAGAATGCCAGAAGATTTGCCAGATAGAATGCCAGAAGAAATGCCAGAAGATATGCCAGATAGAATGCCAAATAGAATGTCCAGATAGAATGCCAGAAGATATGCCAGAAGATATGCCAGATAGAATGCCAAATAGAATGTCAGAAGATATGTCAGATAGAATGCCAGAAGATGTGCCAGTAAGAAGATGTATAAATGTCATGGTGGGGATCACACGAAGTAAAGTAATTCTTGTTTTTTCAGGTAGCCCTGAAAACCCTTAACATCTAAATAATAATGAATGTTTGCACCCCCCTAAATAAAGAATTTGGATTTCAAATGCCTAAAAATAGGGGGTAGTCCTGAAGACCCCTAACATCTAAATAATAATGAATGTTTGCACCCCCTAAATAATGTATTTGGATTTCAACTGTCTAAAATAAGGGGGTGGCCCTGAAGACCCCTAACATCAAAATAATAATGAATGTTTGTGTAAATCTTCCCAGCATGCCCATACATTTCAGGTAGCATTTTTACCATGTTTCCATTAGAACATTTTGCATTTCATCATTTGCAATTTACAGCTGAGGTGACAGCTGCCTTTTGAGATCAAGCTCACGAGAGGTAAGCACAACAATCTTTGAGGCGGTGGAAAAAGGACGAGGAGCACTGCCTGCTCAGAGACAGACCAGCAGGTTAAGAGCCTTGAAAGAGCCAGGAAGGCAAAGAAAAGACCAAAGAAGGCCGAGATGGACGTTAGAAGAAGGTTGGCAACCCCTGAAGAACTGAGGCAGGGACAAGAAGAGATGCAAAAGGCGCAAGAGAGGATGCAGTCTGAAGCTGGTAGGCTAGGTGAAGATCCCATAGAGGATGTTAAAGCAACTGAAGATAGCAAAGTAGGCGAAGAAAAGACTGTAGTTGAAGTTGGAAGGGTTGGCATGGTAGGAGAGTCAATTCCAATCTCTACCCCGCCATCTGGATCTCAAAGTCGAAGGAATAACATGGGCCAAGATTTCCTGACCACAGACCAGAAACCGCCCTTTCAGCCGAGCTCAGAAACCAAGGGTCTTCAGGAGCCGAGTCATCTTGAGGTTCAAACTCCTGGCATGTCTGCCCCAGCGATGTCCCCTCAGTTGCCTTTGTTTGATGAGGAACAGCTGAGAGCTTTTGCGCATCTTCAGAGTCAAGCAGCATGGTTGTATGGGGGCTCACAAGTAGGTGGCTTCATTCCAACAGTTCCTAGGCCGTTGTCTTTGGAAATGGAAGAAGAGATGGCATGCTTAGGCGTTTGAATCTCCTTCAGGAACGTTTGGATCAGGAACAGCGTGAGAAGGTTCAGTTCCAAAAGGAAGTGAAAGACATCCTGGAGGAGAATCGAAGGTTGAAAGAAGAAGTGAAGTTTTTGGAAGATCGAGGTCGTGAGACGTCTCCTTTTGCAACCCCTGATGGAAAGCAGGAGTCAAAGCCAAAGGAGGCTGAGAGACCACCAAAGCAGGCTGCAGATCCAGAGGAGGCCCAAAGGATGCTGCTGTAGATGCAGGTACCGAGGGGGCTGACAGACCCCCAAAGGAGACTGCAGGAGGAGCAGGTTCTAAGGAGGCTGACAGACCCCCAAACGAGGCTGCAGGTTCAAAGGAGGCTGCTAAGGAGGCTGATAGACACCCAAAAGAAAGCCCTCAAATGCCGCCCAAGGATCCCACAATTCAAGTCATTCTCAAGCTCATGGAGGGAATGCAGGAGATTCAAAAGAAGTTGGTCCGGAATGGAGGTGATGAAAGTGCCTTGGAACCTGAGGTGGTGCGACATTCAGCTGATCTTCCACGCTTGGCTGATTGGTCTCCTGACACGGCGCCTATTGACTACAACGACTGGCTGCTTTGCTTGGGCCCTCAGATGGCGGATTTGTCGCCAACAAGTGAACAGTGGTGGAATGTCACTGTTGATGCTGCTCGTGAATGGTATGAACAACATCAGCTCTTGTCACCCATTGCACGTTTTACCCATCAACCTTCTCCAACGCCCGAGATGATGCAACATCGTTGGAGCAGGGTCGAACGAAGAGCCTCTTCGCTTTTGATGGCTGCCATCCCTGATCAACTACGAGAAGAAGTGGTGGCGAGCAAGTCGGTGTCAGCCCTTGGCATCTTGTCAAAGGGTATGCAGCTGTATCAACCTGGTGGATTAGCCGAACGATCAGCCATTTGTCCTCGTTGGAGTCACCAACGGAGGCAACTACGGTGTCTTCGGCGATCTCAACTTTGAGAAAGTGGTTGAGGTGGAAAAGACGCGCTGAGGAGCTGAAGGTTGGATTGCCAGACCCAACAATTCTGGTACGTGGCCTGAGTAAACTAGTGAAGCGCATTTTGCAAGGGATGCCAGATCTGAGTTTCAGGTTGTCGTTGGTGAGAAATACCCTCATGATCGACACGGTTCCCTCGCATGAATCGGTGTCGCGATACTCTGAACATCTCCTTGCAGAGTTGGAGCAAGCTGGACATCAGACCAAGAAGAAGGAGCAGCAAGTGGAAGCGCCGAAATTGAAGAGGCTAGAAGGTCAACAGAAGGAGGATGGACCAGGGCAGAAAGAAGGATCACCAACAGGACGTTTTGGAGGAGAAAAGAAGAAATGTCGTTTCTTTCTCACAGAAGGAGGCTGTAGGAGAGGCAAAGAATGTCAGTGGCTTCATGAAAAAGATGACAAGCGTCGCTGTTGGACGTGTGGAGCTGAGGATCACTTTGCAACTACATGCAGTCGTCCCAAGGGCAAGGAACAGACCCTGAAGAAGGTTTCGAAGTTTGAGGGCGAAGAAAGTCCGTCAAAGAAGAAGGCTGAGGAGATCATGGATCAGAGTTCGACTGCGCCCATGAAAGGTTTGCTGGAAGAGGCTAGCCGGATGCTCAAGACTATGTCGTCTTCATCTTCATCAAACACGTCATCTGCGTCTTCAGCAAAGGAGGATGAGGAAAAGAAAGACGTCATGGAAAGGCTTCATGAACAGCTGAAGTCTCTCAAAGTTTTCAAGATCAACAGGTTGAAGAAAGATGGGAAGATGGGGCTGGTAGACAGTGGTGCTACACACTCTTTGAGAGCTCGTCGAGACAATGAGGAGGTCGACGGGTATGCAGAGGCTGAGGTCTCCCTTGCAGATGGGAGAACAGTGAGGCTGAAGATATCTCCAGGAGGAGCCATGCTGACAGAGGACAAAGGTGTGGAGCCGATCGTCCCCATGGGCCTCTTGGCGACGAAGTTGAACTGCAAGATGCGTTGGGAAGAGGGGAGCTGAAGATTCAACATCCACAGCAGGGTGACATCAAGGTTGTCATGGCAGAAGGATGTCCTCATGTACAACGACATGTTGCACTTCAATTGATCAGCGAGCTGGAGGACGTGAAGAAAGGTGTTCCAGTTTCAGGTGATTTCAAAGATGAGGAGGAATGGATGAAGCAACTGGTCGATCAACACCCAGTGCTGCGTTCTCTGCCTGAACATCTGCGACAGCGGTTGGCTGTTCAGGTTGGCAGTTGGAGTGACTTGCCATCAAATCGAAGGCAGAGCAACGGGATGGTCTCACGGTGCACTTGTTTGCAGGTCCATCAGCGGGGTTTACTCTCGAGAAGGCGATGCAGAAGCATGGGGGAGGAGAAGGTCGGTTGTTGGAAATTGATGTTTTGAGAGGAGAAGGGCACGACTTGTTGTGCGATCAAGGAATCTACAGCGGACTTTTGAGGTGCGCTGTGGAGGGCAAGTTGGATGCTTTGATAGGAGGACCACCATGCAGAACGAGGAGTGTCCTGCGCCACTACGACATCCCAGGACAGCCAGATTGTCCAAGGCCAATCAGGGCTTGGGGTGGAGAGGAGTTTGGAATCAAAGATGCAACCGAAGAAGAAAAGAAAAAGCTTCAAGAAGATGATCTGGTCGCTTGGAGGATGATGTTCCTTTTCATGGTGGCGTCATATGTGAGGAAGGCAAGAGGCATCCCAGAGAAGGTTCAGTTCACTTTGGAGCAGCCTTCATCACCGAAGGCATACAAGCCTGAAGTGGTGTCCTGGTGGGACACTTGGCACTGGCAGGAGCTGAAGAAGGAGTTTGACTTCAAAGAGACGCAGGTGAAGCATAGAGGACTAGGAGGCACAGCAGAAAAGCCAACTACGTTTGGAGGGAATCTTGCCCTTCGACCAGAGGAGCACTATGTCAGTCGAGGGGGAGCAGAAGAGAAAAGTGAGGAGAAGAAGATTCGGAGTTCCAAAGATCTCTCTCGATGGCCACCAGGCATCATGGCCATGGTCGCCTGCGCTCTTCAGAGAAGTGTCATGCAAAAGACTCCAGCTCTCAAGGCCATCAGCTGGGAACAACATCTTGCCATGAATCACACACCATATCGCCGTGATTGCTTGGTGTGTCAACAAACTCTTCAACAAGCACATCCACATCGAAGAGTCAAACATCCTACCGGAGGAGTCCTGTCCTTGGACACAGCTGGCCCACTGGTGAAAGCTCAAGATGTCACTGGCGGCAGTGCTCGCTACTTTCTTGTGGGAGCCGTCACATGGGCCGTCCCCCTGGGAATCGTTGACTTGAAGGATGCAGCAATGGAAGAAGAAGTCCCTGAGGAGGAGATTGAAGAAGCCAGATTGAAGAGGAGGAAGAAGATCAAATTGATCAAAGAGAAGCAAAGAAGAACAAAAAGGAGGCTCAAAGTTGCAAGGAGCCAGTTGAAGAACGACAAGAACCTGAACCAGTTCCAGACCCAGCTCAAGAAGAAAAGGGTGTGGACTTTGTTGTGAAAACCTTTCGGCTAGCATATCCAATGACTTCAAAAAGATCGACTGAAGTTTCAAAGATCGCGTTGGAGATGCTGTTGAGGCTGAGGGCTGATGGGTATCACATCAATAGAGTTCACACTGATCAAGGGCACGAATTTGCTGGCCAATTTTTGAAGTGGGCACATCAACGAGGTCTACATGTCACTCGGACACCGGGCGACGATCCACCCGGTAATGGCCGGGCTGAACTGGCAGTGAAGTTCTTCAAGACCCAAATTCGAAAGTGCCTGCTTGAGGCTCAACTTGGAGCTGACCATTGGCCCCTGGCACTGAGGCACATCAACGAAGTTTCCAGGTGCAGCCGACTTGGCAAAACACCAACATGGCCTCAGTTCTGGAAGGAGGTGGTCATCAGAAAGAGAAGATGGAAGAGAGGAGGGTTTGAGCCCACCATGGAAGTCGTGCGCTATGTGAGCCCAGCACCTGAAGAGCATAGACATTGGGTTCAGCCAGAAGGTGAAGTCCCAAGACTTACAAGATGCTATGTCCAGAAGGCTGAAAGGGTCCCCAACGAAGGGACATGGATTGCGTTGGAGAAGGAGACTGTGGATGAGCTCTCAAAAAGACGTCGAATTCGAGAGAAGAGTTCGATCAGGCTGCTGAAGTCAGAAGAGATGAGCTCAAGTCAAGACCCAGAGGAGCTGAAGGCCGAAGCATCGAGGAGAGAAGTCAAAGAAATGATGGAAGAGAGCGTAGGCCACATGTTTGAGGCTGAGGCTGAAGTAGCGGCACATGAGGTTGAGGTTCTCAGAAGTTTGAAGAAGATGACTGAGGAGGCCGAAGAACCAGAAGATGAGGTGCTGCAGACAAAAGTAGTATCTCCAAAGGAAGTCAGCAAGGCATGGAACCACTGGCTCCCTGCGATTGAGGAGGAAGTCAACTCTCTGATTGTCGAGAAGGAAGCGTTGCAGCAGATTGGAAAGAAAGAAGTGGAGGAGATAGTGAGGAAAGCAGAGAGGGCAGGAAAGAAAGTGGAGTTTCTGCCATCGAAAATGGTGTACACACGAAAGCCTGGTCCACTGGGAGGCCGCATGAAAGCAAGATGGGTGGTCTGTGGAAACTTTGAGGAGAAGAGATCAAATGAAGACACCTACTCCAGCGGAGCGGGCGCATCAGCTTTCCGTCTCCTTGCAGCCACCGCTGCACACTTCCAATGGCAAGGAGGAACAGTTGACATCAAAACGGCGTTCTTGAACGCTGAGATGGAGGCGGCAGAAGGTGAAAGCATCATCATCATCATCATCATCAAGCCACCGATGGTGATGTTGGAAAAGAACTTTCTCCCACCGGCCAAACACCTTCTACATCCCGCTGAAGGCCGTCCATGGATTTCGAAGATCACCGAGGTTGTGGGGCAACTGCCGTGACCGTGCTTTGTCCCATATGGAAATTAAAGGAGGAGAAAAAGGGGCTCTGAGACTTCACCAACTTGAATCAGAACCCAACTTGTGGAAGATCTTACAAGAAGGAGGTGAAGAGGAGGAAGAGCGAAGGTTGAAGGGTCTTTTGATGACCTACGTCGATGACATTTGTGTCGTCGGAGATCAAGAGACTGTCAACAACACCATGGAGAAGATCCGCGAGAAGTGGAAAACTTCCGTGCCAGATTCCATTGGCGAAGTTCCCATCCGCTTTTAATGGAAGTTGCAAAGCTCAAAGATTCAAAGACAGAGAGGGAGGTCTGGTATGTCTTCCAGGCGTCCTACATCAAAGATCTGATTTCAAAGGCAGGAGAAGAAGTCAAAAAGAAGAAGGTTCCAATCACAAGAGATCAAAGTGCTCAGCTGGGAGAAAAGGACGAAAAGGTGGAGGTCGAGGATGTAAGGCAATCTCAGAAACAGGTTGGTGAACTGCTATGGATCGTGACGAGAACTCGTCCCGACCTGATGTACGCAGTTTCTAGAATGGGGAGTTTAGTGACCAAGTCTCCCACCAAAGTCAACGAGATCTACCAGCAGGTGATTGGTTACCTCCTTCGAACATCAAACGAAGGCCTGTCTTTCAAAAGCAGCCCTGGTGATGCCCCTGTCCTGGAGGTGTTCACGGATGCGAGTTTCGCACCAGATGGTCGCGAAAGTCATGGCTCTTTTGTCGTGGAGTTCCTGGGGTGTCCCATTTTCTGGCGATCAGGGAAACAATCCTTTGTGACCCTGTCAACTGCAGAGGCTGAGATGATGGAGGTGATTGAGGGTATGGTCGCCGGTGAGTCTGTGCTGGTGATGGCAAGCGAGATCTTCAAAGGAGTGGCTCGCAAGGTTTGGACAGACTCCCAGTCGGCCCAAGCCACCCTTTGCTTGGAGAGTGGATCATGGAGAACACGTCACTTGCGCATCAGAGCTACGGCAGCACGACAAGCTTTCCAACGTGCTGAATGGCTGTTACAGCAAAAGATGATCGCGGACATTGGCACCAAGCCGTTAGCTGCTGCGAGATTCAACATGCTGAAGGAGGAGTTGGGAATGAAAGAATGGAAAGAAAAGATAGAGGAGGATGCAGAACAAAAGAAAGAAGAAAAGAAAGAAGGCGGAGACGAGAAGAGCTCCGTTGGGTTTGTGAAACAGGTCGCCAAGATCATTATGATTGCGGCGTTGTTGGACGGAGTGAAAGCACAAGAAGATGAGGAGGAAGAGCCTGGAACGACAGAATTTCAGGTGATGATGGTGGCGTTTGCACTGCTGATCGTTTTCGCCACTTTGGCGATCCAATGGCTTCTTGGGTTTTTTCAACAAAGCTCCGCTACCAAGGAGATCTCCGCTACCAAGAAACAAGGTGGAGAAAAAAACAAAAGAAAAAGAAGGAGGCAGAAAGCCCAAAAATGGAAAGGCCAAAGTCACTTCCAGAGCCAGCGAGTGTGGGTCGGGCGGCATCGTCGAATGAAACGGTGGCCGGACTCCCCACTGGTGGTGATGCGCCGTGGGTTGGAGGAGAACCCGCGGCTACGCTCCCACCCGAGGCAGCCAGCGGTGATGCGCTGTGGGTTGTGGAGGAGAACCCGCAGCTACGCTCCCGACCGTGGCCTCAGAGGTATCCGGCGGTGATGCGCCGTGGGTTGGAGGAGAACCCGCGGCTACGCTCCCGACCGTGACCTCATCAAGTGAGAGCAGTCAAAGCCTCACCTCGCAACCTGGAGTGACTGAAGAAAGAATTATGGTCATCATGGAAGAGATTGTCAGAGAAGAAGAACAAATGTGGGCTGACATTCGTGCCAACCCAGAGGTTGCAGCCCAAGAACAACAAGGAGGAAATGTGGCCACTCTGGCTTTTCAGATCTACACCACAAGATATGGCCCGGTGTATCACTGCAGACAGCAGTGTGGATATCTACGAGCTGCGCAGACTGGACTTCGCCGTGAGTCCACTTGGTGCCATTTGTGTCGCCATGTTGCGCAGCGTGGATGTGGAAGCCCACCACCGGGCATACCAATCTGGATTGCTGGATGGGGAGGTGTTGCACACACTGACCCAAGGTGCCCACAAATTGGAAATAGCCGCGAGACCAGGCTGTGCACCCAATGCCAGATGAACTCCGATAATTAAGAGGCAGTTTGGGCCGATGAAAATTGTGCAATCCTAACGGACGCACAAAGGGGGAGTGTAAATCTTCCCAGCATGCCCATACATTTCAGGTAGCATTTTTACCATGTTTCCATTAGAACATTTTGCATTTCATCATTTGCAATTTACAGCTGACGTGACAGCTGCCTTTTGAGATCAAGCTCACGAGAGGTAAGCATAACAATATCTTTGAGGCGGTGGAAAAAGGACGAGGTGCACTGCCTGCTCAGAGACAGACCAGCAGTTTGCACCCCCCGTAAATAAAGAATTTGGATTTCACTTGTCTAAAATAAGGGGGTGGCCCTGAAGACCCCTAACATCTAAATAATAATAATAATAATAATAATGAAATCCCCTTTGGAATAACCCTCTCTAAAATGGGGGACCCCGGGGTCCCACTAAACCATTTTTTTTAGACAAAATTTAGCGATGTTTTTTTCCAGGGGGGTGGGACTTTCATTTTATAGTGATCCCAGGGGGGCAGGAGGATTTTGATTTTACAATATTAAATTTCATTTCATAGCGATTCTCTTTTTGGCATGACACTCATGCATGGGGGTTGGGTGTTCCCATTCTATAGAGTCAGGAGATGTCAGGAGGTTTCAGGAAATCATTCCTTTTGGGGGTTGGTAGCCTCCATTTTATAGTGATCATGGGTTGTAGTTGCATTGCTCAGTCTTCGCGTGCCGTTTCCTGCTATAGCATGGATGGCAATGGGAACCTGGGGGAGTGTTCCCAAACCAGAGAAACGTAAGAATGGAAGAGAATGGAATAGAGTGGACAAACAAAGCCAGCTTTCTCCATCCAACCCCAAAATCCCCAGCTGGCCCAAAATACCCAGCTTTGTCGATACCCCTAAATGCCCAGCTTGGAGAAATCCTTTGGCTTTGGGACATGGGACAGCATGGGATCACTATCAAATGGAAAACTTTCTCCACCCTACCCTGAAATACCCAGCTGCCCCAAAAATACCCAGCTCTGTCGACACAACAAAATACCCAGCTTGGAGTCTTTTTGTCGACATCCCTTGGCTTTTGGGACATGGGACAGCATGGGACCACTATAAAATGGAAAATATTTTCCATCCTACCCTACAATACCCAGCTGCCCCAAAAATACCAAGCTCTGTCGACACAACAAAATACCCAGCTTGGAGTCTTTTTGTCGACATCCCTTGGCTTTTGGGACATAGGACAGCATGGGACCACTATAAAATGGAAAACCACCCAAAAAAATACCCAGCTGCCCCAAAAATACCTAGCTCTGTCGATACAACAAAATACCCAGCTTGGAGTCTTTTGTCGACAGGCCTTGGCTTTTGGACATGAGACCGCTATAAAATAGAAAACTTTCTCCATCCTATCCTGCCCGAAAGCACCCAGCTGCCCCAGAATACCTAGCTCTGTCGATACCACAAAACACCCAGTTTGGAGCCTTTTTGTCGACATCCCTTGGCTTCGGGACATGACAACATGGGACCACTATAAAATTATTTTTCTCCATCCTACCCTAAAATACCCAGCTGCCCCAAAAATACCCAGCTCTGTCGACACAACAAAATACCCAGCTTGGAGCCTTTTTGTCGACATCCCTTGGCTTCGGGACATGACAACATGGGACCACTATAAAATGGAAAATATTTTCCATCCTACCCTACAATACCCAGCTGCCCCAAAAATACCAAGCTCTGTCGACACAACAAAATACCCAGCTTGGAGTCTTTTTGTCGACATCCCTTGGCTTTTGGGACATAGGACAGCATGGGACCACTATAAAATGGAAAACTATCTCCATCCCACCCAAAAAAAATACCCAGCTGCCCCAAAATACCCAGCTCCGTCGATACCAGTCTTTTTGTCGACATCCCTTGGCTTTTGGGACATGGGACAGCATGGGACCAATGGAAAACTACCAGAAAATAAGTCTTGGTCTTTGTGTCAGCATCCCTTGGCTTTGGGACGTCCCGGGCTAAAGAAAAATGTGGTGTCTTTGGGGCGATGATGGTGGGAGGATGTGGGAAGGCTGCGGCACTATAAAATGGAAACCCCCAACCCCCAGAAAATCCTACCAGGAAGGGCATGTAATCTCTATAAAATCAGAGCACCCAACCCCTCAAGAAACCATTCATTTTTGGATGTTGTAAGATACAGGGGGTTGGGGGTTCCTATTCTATAGTAGAAAGTTGGCTAGTTCCTTCATTTTAAGGCTAGGCTCCAGGGTACGTTGGGGCCTCCCATTTTATAGTGATGGAGGGTTTTGCAGTAAATTTGTAGCTGTAAATATTTGCTTTTTCAAATAATTTTCTTATTTTATAGAGGTGCACCTGTTTTGTGACCTTGGGTGTTTCCATTTTATAGAGGTCCCACTCCGGGGGGGATGGGTGCCCCCGTTTTAGTACTATAAAATGCGGGCACCCAACCCCCCCACTTAATCTAGTAGGGGATATAATGAATGTTTGCACCCCCCTAGATAAAGCATTTGGATTTCACATGTCTAAAATAAGGGGGTGGCCCTGAAGACCCCTAACATCTAAATAATAATAATAATGAATGTTTGCACCCCCCCTAGATAAAGTATTTGGATTTCACATGTCTAAAATAAGGGGATGGCCCTGAAGACCCCTAACATCTAAATAATAATAATGAATGTTTGCACCCCCCTAGATAAAGCATTTGGATTTCAAATGTCTAAAATAAGGGGGTGGCCCTGGAGACCCCTAACATCTAAATAATAATAATAATAATGAATGTTTGCACCCCCTAGATAAAGTATTTGGATTTCAAATGTCTAAAATAAGGGGGTGGCCCTGAAGACCCCTAACATCTAAATAATAATATTAATAATGAATGTTTGCACCCCCCCTAGATAAAGCATTTGGATTTCAAATGTCTAAAATAAGGGGGTGGCCCTGAAGACCCCTAACATCTAAATAATAATAATAATGAATGTTTGCACCCCCCCTAGATAAAGTATTTGGATTTCACATGTCTAAAATAAGGGGATGGCCCTGAAGACCCCTAACATCTAAATAATAATAATGAATGTTTGCACCCCCCTAGATAAAGCATTTGGATTTCAAATGTCTAAAATAAGGGGGTGGCCCTGGAGACCCCTAACATCTAAATAATAATAATAATAATGAATGTTTGCACCCCCTAGATAAAGTATTTGGATTTCAAATGTCTAAAATAAGGGGGTGGCCCTGAAGACCCCTAACATCTAAATAATAATATTAATAATGAATGCTTGCACCCCCCCTAGATAAAGCATTTGGATTTCAAATGTCTAAAATAAGGGGGTGGCCCTGAAGACCCCTAACATCATAATAATAATGAATGTTTGCACCACCCTAATGTCTAAAATAAGCGGGTAGCCCTGAAGACCCCTAACATCTAAATATTAGTGAATGTTTGCACCCCCCCCCCCAAATAAAGTTTTTTGGTTTCAAATGTCTAAAATAAGGGGGTAGCCCTGAAGACCCCTAACATCTAAAAAAAAAATGAATGTTTGCACCCCCCTAGATAAAGTATTTGGATTTCAAATGTCTAAAAAAAGGGGGTGGCCCTGAAGACTCCTAACACCTAAATAGTAAGGAATGTTTGCACCCCCTAAATAAAGTATTTGGATTTTATCTCTAAAATAAGGTGTTAGTCCTGAAGACACCCTAAACATCTAAATAATAACCATAATGAATGTTTGCGCCCCCCCCCTAAATAAAATATTTGGATTTCAAAGGTCTAAAATAAGGGGATAGTCATGAAGACCCCTAACATATAAATAATAATGAATGTTTGCACCCCCCTAATTAAAGCATTTGGATTTCAAATGTCTAAAATAAGGGGTTAGTCCTGAAGACCCCTAACATATAAATAATCATGAATGTTTGCACCCCCCTAAATAAAGCATTTGGATTTCAAATGTCTAAAATGGGGGTAGTCCTGAAGACCCCTAACATCTAAATCATCATAATAATAATGAATGTTTGCACCCCCCTGAATAAAGTATTTGGATTTCAAAGGTCTAAAATAGGGGGGTGGCCCTGAAGACCCCTAACATCTAAATAATAATAATAATAATGAATGTTTGCACCCCCCTAGATAAAGCATTTGGATTTCAAATGTCTAAAATAAGGGGGTGGCCCTGAAGACCCCTAACATCTAAATAATAATAATAATGAATGTTTGCACCCCCCTAGATAAAGCATTTGGATTTCAAATGTCTAAAATAAGGGGGTGGCCCTGAAGACCCCTAACATCTATATAATAATAATAATAATGAATGTTTGCACCCCCCCTAGATAAAGTATTTGGATTTCAAATGTCTAAAATAAGGGGGTGGCCCTGAAGACCCCTAACATCTAAATAATAATAATAATAATGAATGTTTGCACCCCCTAGATAAAGTATTTGGATTTCACATGTCTAAAATAAGGGGGTGGCCCTGAAGACCCCTAACATCTAAATAATAATAATAATAATAATGAATGTTTGCACCCCCCTAGATAAAGTATTTGGATTTCAAATGTCTAAAATAAGGGGGTGGCCCTGAAGACCCCTAACATCTAAATAATAATAATAATGAATGTTTGCACCCCCCCTAGATAAAGTATTTGGATTTTACTTATGTATTCGTTTTTAATTAGGCAATTTTTCCGGCGCCACACAGGTCTGGAAAATGTTCCAAGGACCCCAGGCCATTGTTTGGCCTCCGAATTATTTACGTTCCCTTACTGTTTGACGGGGGGGTTTTATACGATGTCAACATTAAGTCTACTGGAACGACATGCAGTAGGACCAATACATCACAATCCACGACCCAATCCGTCACCCCATGCGCAAAGTAGGATCCAGTAGGATCCAGTGCAGCATGTCATGTAGCTTCAGAACAGCGAAAGGAAATAGTTCGGAACTTTGCGCATCGATGCACCCCCCACGAGATGGCGCAGATGGCGCTGGGCATCAGAAACATCATTTGACCCCGTTGATAGGAACCGCAAAGATAGGTAAATACCTGATTATGAAATCTTCAAGAGGCTCCGATGATCTCTTTTGAAAGGATGTGGTACAGAGGCCTCACACAAATGTTGGTTTTGCAAGATCCTTTCTTCACTGTGCACACTGTTTGGGGTCCTTGGAGTGATTCATGACCATGCTGCACATCAAGAGATTTACCAGCGGCGTGTGACCCGGCTCCGAAGCAGCCTGGCTGCAGGTGGCTGGCAAGAAGATTACAGAGTGGCTTGGAAGATATGAAGGAAGAAGTGCCTGTTCGCACCATTTTCAAATGATGTTTTAAGGTTTGGGTTTTGCACCCGCTCCAATACCTGTGCATTTTTATACCAAGCTGAAAGCTCTGGGTGAACAAATTGTCATCTCCAAGGATTGAAGCAGACGATTTGACCAACATCAGCCATTGCCTCAACGCAGTTGATCAGCCATTGCGTTGCTGGCACAGGTCGATGTTACCTGAAACTCACGGCAACAGCAGATAGATCGGTGCAAGTATTCTTTGCTGGACAGGCTGCTTAAAGAGCATTCAAACGATTATTCCTTCAGGATCCCTTGGGGTTCTTTGCATGTGTAGTTGTAGATAGCCTGCCTTATCCGTGTTTTTTCTCCTTTTTTCTCGGGCAAGAACTGGGAATTTGGATTGGATATGACTTGATATATGACTTGATCAGGAAGAATATTTTGTGCGAACCCCTGCCGTGGGCACTGTACTTCGTTGTATTGGTGTGACCTTTGGCTCCAACTTTCTAAAAAGGAACCACATCGTGCAGAAGAGATAAAACACGATAAACTTCCCTGAGATATAGCTCACAGTGAAGCCATAGCCATCCTACTTGCACCTACTGCACCGTGTCACCTAATCGTTTTCCATGGTTGTCCGCAAATTTTCAGGACTCTCGTGTGCGCGTTTGCCCACATCCGTGTGAATCTGGCCCACCAAAAGAAAAAGTAGGGACAAAAATCCCGCATTTCTAAAAGGAACTGAGCTCTACGTGAGGATAAAGGGGGAGTTGGTGGAGATTGCCTTTGCTCCACCCAGGTATGCCAGGTATGCGAAATAGATAAAGTTTAATGAAATGACACATTTAATAATATAAAAACTCCTGCAGTAAAACCACATGTAGTATACATAACATTGACTGTCGTGCAGCGTTGGTTCAAAAGGATTAGCTGCTTAACGGTTTGAGGCCACCCCATTATAGTGTTTTACCTAATTGGTGGCGACCTGTGAATATACAGGTTATCAGCCGTAGTCTCACTACTTTGCTATGGGGACCCCAACTGACCTTCCTCTCGCCGTTCCAGGGTCAGGTCCATCGACTGTCGCCGTGCCAAATGTGGCCGGAGGCGACTCCACGCCGATGGATGAGGAAACCATGTTTCAGCCGGTTGTAGCATACTTTACATTCATACAAAACAACATGTCTCAGATTACTAGTGGAAACACACTGCAAGTCATGAGGGAAGCTGAACAGAGGCACCTTCAGATAATGCATGGAGTAGTTGACTCAATCCGAAGTGAATGGTCAAGTAGACTCGTAATGCAAGAGCGGGAGTATGAGCAAAGTTTGCAGGATGTAGAGAACAAAGCAATTGGAGCACTCAATGAGGAAAGGAAGAGAGGTGATGAGCTAGAGGTCAGATTAAATCAGGCTCAAGCATCGCATGACAAAAAGGTAGAGGACTTCAAGGCAGAGGCAAACACAAAGCATGACCAAAAGATTGCAGAGGAAAGGCAACGTATTACTAGCGAATTCGAAGCCTCCTATGCACAAACAGTTGAACATGCAAAGAGTGCCATAGCTGCCACAAAGAAGCAATATGAAGACCAAGCTGCAATTGAACAGGCCAAGTTTATCCATTTGAAAACAGAGTTTGAAAACTACAAAAAGGAAATGGCCGAAAAGATCAATGAAGCAGCGGCACAAAACCTTAGCCTTCAGGACCAAATCGATGACCTTCAGGAGCAGTTGAAGCATGTTGACAAAGCGCAACAAGCATCCGTACCGAAAGCATCCGTCCAGAAAGCCGAGCCAGCCACCATCGCTGGTGTGCCTCACTTCAACATTGCTACTCCAGAGTACCTGATGCGCAAGCTGCTAGAGGTAGTGAAGAGCCAGTTTTAGAGTTGAAGACACCCGCTGTGTTGGCCCAAGAGGCAAAAGCCAAGTTGGATGAGTTGCTCAAAGAAGGCACTCCCCAACAGAAGCCAGCTGTCGGTGACGACAAGCCTCATTTGCCGACGCATTCAGGGTTCATGACTCCCACTGAAGCTATCAAAACTCCCCCAAATGATTCCCCTAAGAGCGTAACCAAGCAACAGCAAGTGATGGGTCCCTCGGAACTTATTGAATTGGTGAAAGCCTTAACCCCAAGGGAAGAGAAGGATAAGCCAAAGACTAAGGAAGCCGAGGTCATCAAGCTGAACAACATGCCAGCTCCGGAATCATATAGGACTTGGAAGAATCATGTCAGGGACGAGGTCAAGAGTTGCTCAGATCGTCCAGATGAAGCATGGCTTTGGCTCAATGAGGTGTACGATCAGGAGTGCACCAGAGAAGAGCTGGAGAAGAGGCTTCAAGATCCTGGGAAGTTCCTTACGCTGGATACAAAGTTATCAGCAGCGCTCACGCGCTCAGCCGGAGGGGACCTCGCTACTAGGATACTGAACTTTAAGGAGCAACAATCCCGAAAAGGCATCCAGGTCAGGGGAAGGTATGTTCTGTTCATGTTTGAGGACTACTTCAAAATATCAGAAGAAGCAGGTAGCCTTTACAGAGTAGAAGATCTTTTGGGTGTTGTCAAGGTAGGTGATACGGTCCAGGATCTTAGAAGATTCATCAACAAATGGGATGCTACCTTAGCAGGCATGGCTGTCACACCCGATGATGCTGTGTTAAGGGACATCTTGTTGAGACAGATCCGACCAAGTCAGTTGCTGAAGTACGACATCGAGGTGTTCGATCGTGCCCATGAGAAATCTCATGAGAAGTCTTACGGCTTTCTCCATCAGTCCATGAAGAACTTGATCGACAGAGAACGGTTGAGGGAGAACAGGAACCGCATCGCGGAGAAGAACAAGGCTGGTGGACCGAAGGACACGAAAGCTGCACCCGCCAAAGGCGATGGTCGTGGCAACCGAAAGGGTTCTCCGAGTCGTGGTAGATCACAGGAACCTAGTAAGGGTGATAAGATCTGTTACAAGTTCCACAAGGGTCAATGCGATAAGGGGAAGAAGTGTCCATTCAAGCACGTAAAGGAAGATAAATCCCGAACACAATCACCCAGAAGAAGTAAGACATGTTCACCATCAAGGGGCAACAAAGATGATAAGGGGAAGAAAATGTCCAAAGAAGAAATGGCAAAGACCCCATGCATCTATCATGCCCAGGGAAAGTGCAGACGAGGTGACAAATGTTTTTTTATAAACATGATGGCAAAGCTGCTGCAGACACCAAAGAATGCAACTTCGAGCTCTGATCAGTCCGGTGTCAGCATGAAGCGTCTTAGATTCCGAAAGGTTCCACATGTGATCGAGTTGAAGGCAGTCGGTCGTCAAGTCCCCGTCAAGCACCGTCCAAGAGAGTTCACTAAGGTGTACAAGACAGCCGAACACGTTCCTGTTTCTTCTAAGGTCGAACAACATGAAGCTCAGGTACGTGCAAGGCAGCTCCAGGAAACTGTGAAGCTCCATGAGTCGGATGTCGCACCAAGTTGTGGGTTTTGTTGTTGGAATTAGGACACTTGTGACATCACTTGCAAAGAATGCAGATTTGTCAGCGGTCTGCAGGCGAGCATCCGATTTCCTTAGTTACAGCCAATGGTTCAACTGAGGCTGGTGAGGTTGCTGATGTCAAGCTGTCCGCATTGCCAGATCCCGTGCATCCGTATGTACTCGATCATACCCCAGCTGTGCTCTCTGTATAGGAACCAGATGTGTAGATCAGGGTTACGGTTTTGTCTGGCCTGCCAACGGCAAACCGATTCTAGTTCGTCCGGATGACAAAGTTGTCCAGCTCAAGATCGAAGGTCATTTCCCAGTTTTGGATGATTACTGCAAGGTCTACCCCAAAGATCAATTTCAAAGGATAAGCACCTTAGGAAGTTGTTCGCAATTCCGACCTCGCAGTCGAGCTCCAAAGCCAAACGGGACGAAGCCCAAGATGAAGAGCAGTTGGACGAGCTGGTTGAGGACGATGCCCAGCAGGAGTACATCCGAAGCCGCAAGACTGAGGATCTTCTGGCCCAAGCTGCAAGTACCCAACATCAGTACACTCATTTCCCCAAGAACCCATTCTGCAGAACTTGCCAAAGAGCAAGAATGATGGCTCCACAGGCAAGGAAGAAAGGTGGTCAGAAGAGAATCGAAACAGAAGTGTTTGGTGACCACATTATCGGTGATCATGTTATCATCAAGAAGAATGTAGAAGAGTGTTTCAGGGGGGAGCAAGTTGCATTGGTGTTGAAAGATCTGCACACCCAATACCGATACGTTTACCCAAGCCAATCCAAGGATTCACAAAGTTGTGTTGATGGTTTGAATCACTTCATTGGATCAAAAGATGATGTTCAAGTTGTGTGTACTGACAATTCCCCAGAATTGATCAGGGCCGTCAAGGACTTGGGTTACAGACATCAGACATCAATTGAATATGTAGATTCATCAAAGTCTTTTGCTGAGCGCGAAGTTCGCCAGATGTGGGACGGTGCCCGAAGCAACTTGTTGCAGTCCGGACTTCCGTTGAAGATGTGGCCATTGGCCATGCAGCATCATGCGACCGCGATCAATGCAAGCCCCCAGCTTGACGGCAGTGAATCTCCATGGCAACTCAGGTTTGGTGAAGAGTTCCCTGCAATGCACATTCCGTTTGGTGCCAAAGTGTTGTTCTGGAATAATCCCAACAAGGCAGATAACACAGCAGGTAAGCTTTCCCCAACATCAAATGAAGGAGTATTCCTTGGGTATTACATCCAACCAGGTTATGATTGGAAGGGTGAATACTTAGTTGCCAAATTGGAAGCTGCAGATTATCATGTCAATTGGGGCGCACTGACAATTCAAAGAACAAAAAGGGTGGAATTGCCATCTGAGGGTTTCATCTTTCCTTTGAAAGCTCTGATTGACTCGAAGGCACCCAAAGCCGACCGCCTTGAGGATCAGGTGAGTCCGCAGACTCCCAAAGCTGTGCCGCTTGAGTCCAGCATGCATCCGCCACAAGACGAGTATGAATACGAGCCAGGGACGCCTCTACCAGCCGACAGTGATGTCGAGCCCGATGCACCTGCAGAGCCCGTATTCCCAGATCTCAAGTTGACCCCCAAAGGTGAAATAATTCCAGATGGTTTTCATTGGGATGGTCACCGGATTGTACGTAACTATAAAGGGTCAAAACGTCCGGAAGGGATTGACTCTGAATTGTGGAAGATGTTAGGACCCCATGAGCGAAAGCAGATCATTGAAGAGGAGGATGCAAAGGCAAAAGCCAAAGCACAGGAGGAAAAGCCAGCACCATCATCTGGCAGCAAGGGCAAGAAGAAGAAAGCTTCGACAGCCCGGCTTGAGGTAACTCAATGCCCTCCTGCAAAAGCTAGGCTTGTAGGCAACACTTGGGAAATTATTCCAGCCGTTTCCCAAAAGTTCTCCGTGCCAGCAATGCCAAAGGCTGCTGTGCCTGCCGTGGAAGAACACCGGCCAAAGCTACGTGAGCTTGTGAAGGAGAAGATCAAGGAACATGAGTTCAAGGTTGCACTCGAGCTTTTTGCTTCAGTTGCTAGGCTTGTATCAAAAGATTAGATTGCCAGCAACCCCAAGGCGAAGGCCGCCCTTGACAACGAGTGGGAAAACCTCCGAAACAAGGGTGTTTGGGATGAGAAGCGTGTTCGTGAGTGCGGCGACATAGTAGCTGAGGCTCGTCGCAATGGCCAAACTGTGCACCTAGGTCGAATCTTTGAAGCTTGCTATGAGAAGGGTTCTGAATTGCCTGAATCAGACCCTCGCCGGAAGTTCAAGGGTAGGACGGTTTTTCAGGGAAATAATGTAAGAGATGAGAATTCCGATCACGCACTCTTTAATGAGTTAGGCTCTTCCCCAGCATCCATGGAAGCAGCAAAGCTGCTAGATGCTTTCGGTAGTCAGCCCGGATTCTCAAAACTGCAGGCAGATGCTATCCAAGCCTACATACAAGCCCTCTTCACAGGGGTGCCCACATGGTTATCACTTCCTCGAAATCGGTGGCCAAAAGATTGGGAGACCCATGGTTCCTATGTTACTTGCTCTTTACGGTCATCCTGATAGTGGGGGTATTTGGGAAAATCATCTCAATAGCCGTGTGGTGAAACAAGGTTGGAAGCAAATTTTACCTGATATTTGGCATTCATTTTTTCATCATCAAGAGCTCAACTGTCTTTTGGTTGTGTATGTAGATGACTTCAAGATGGCTGGACCCGCTGCCAACATGGAAAAAGCATGGGCAAGCATCAAGGCTGCAGTGAACATTGGTGATCCTGAGCCGTATGATCGCTACTTTGGCTGTATGCACCGTGAATTTCAAAATATCCGGTTGCCTTCGCAGGCACACCCATTCGCATTCGCCTTTGAAGCCAAGAAGTCAGCAGCCGCACAACACCGAACACAAGACTGGTGGGAGCATGATGAAACAAACATGGCATGGAATCGACATCATGTTCAACCCCGAAAAAGATTGTCCCAGCCGGGTGATGAGGGGGGAGGTTGTCCTAGCATCACCGACGGGAACAATCAGGGGGGCTATGATGTTTATACAGATGATTGGAAAACATCTAGCAATCAAGAAAATGAATTCTGGACAGGAAAAACAGTTTTCTGTTATGGACAAGATGGACCAGACAAATTCAAGCGCTTTGCAATGGCCAACTCCTACACCTTCAGTGATCTTGAGTGGCTGAGGATCTACAACGCAGCCGTGAAGCGTGGGGGGATGTTGCTGTCAGTCGGATCAATGACAGTCATGGTCAACATGAACGATGACTTGCAGGCAACTGATCGTGAGTATATGAAGTGGAAACGAGGCCTGATGTCGGGCATCGGTGGAACCATTGCGGAAAGACCATTGGTGCGCAAAGAGAAGGATGTGCTGGCAGAAAAGTTCAGGTTTGGCAAGACAATCTTGATCACGGACCTCGTTTACAAGTGCAGCTCGAACGCGAGGGGGATGACCAACATTCAATATGGGCTTGACGAGATGGGTTACGCCATTACGGTCATCGACATCAACAGCTTCAAGAGCGTGACAAGAGCCCAGAAGTTCCTCGACGCAGTCGAACACTTGAAAAGGAACGTGATGCCAGACATCGCGGCGGAGGAGAACGTGACAATCCATTTTTGGATATCATGTGCATTTCTCATCACTGACCACCACCCGTATCATGTGTGGGTAGAGGGAAACTTCGCTGAGCGGTTGGCCGAAGCAATTCGAAGTGTCGACAAGATGGCGACGAGACCAATCTTCGTGTCGCTCTGCAAGGATTTGAGATTTCATGGCATTCCATGCATCTGGGATCCAGGACGTCGCCATGGACTCGGCAGACATTTTGAGAAGCTTCGGAATCATGGTCACCACTGATGATGGAATGTGGAGATTGATGTACGGTCATGCCGGCAACCACTACATGAACAACCACAATATGCCAGATCGATTGGGAGTCTTCGGCACCATGGAGAAGTTTTTGTTCAGACAAAGGGTACTGTTGATGTGCTCACTGAACGTCGAGGCCGCGAAGGGGCTGAACGACACGGTAAAGGAATCTTCCATGAAAGTTGGCATCAACCTGGAGCTGATGGAGAAAGTTCTCAAGGAACCAGCAACGATCGAGATCGGAACCGGAGGTGGAGTTCCTGACACTGCAAGCACTGGAACCGACTGCCCAGGTACGGTTGGTGGTGGAAGAAGAATCAATGTGGGATATGAGAAAGCGCCATGGATTGAGGATACGGTGAGATCAGTTTTGCCGGAATCTTCAGCCAACATATATGACATGTGGTTCTACGTCAACCATGGACGCGATGAGATGATTCTATGCCAACAACATTTCAAGGGGCATGCTGATGAAGTGATGCCACATGATTTCATGAATCAAAACCTTGGATGCGGGAAAGAGTGCGTTGCGTGCCGTGCCAGTGAGATGTCAAGGGACTACGATCTTTGGCCTCCAGAATACCAACGAAAGACAATCATCAAGACGGCAGCAAGGATTCGCGCATTCTTCAACATCATGGTTGATGTGGGCACCATAATCATGGACCCACAGAGAGACTTTGTTCAGTTCCTCAAGGATATCACCCGTACAATGGTGGGCAACAAGGGATGTGAACATGGTGAGATCCTGATGAAGGCGCTGTCGCACTTCGGGACCGTTAGAGTTCCCAGGGACGGCGTGAAACAGATCTTCACTGGAAAACGTGGGAGGCAATATATCGTTATCCGAGAGGAGTTCTCATTGGAGACTGGCAAGGGCACCTACGACCGATTTGCATATCGTGTCTCCAAAGATTATGGGAACGTCTTCTACAAAGATTACCTCAAAATGGTGCTTGGGAATGACTTCTCTGACGTCATGGGTTATCCCGACGTCGCGGCCGAGAAATGCGGCGACGTTGTAGAGATGTGGCTTGGCATGCTTGACCTCGCCAACATGACGAAGTCGCAGATCACGTTCATGGAGACAAAGGCGGACCCGGGCGAGCTGCTTGCGGGCCTGGAAGCGTCATCTTCCATGGGACGACAAGATCGACTACGACTCCCAACACCAAAAGGGGTGGATCAAGGATAACTGAACCCATGAACCATGAAGAGGCTGTCGTGAACCAGATCTTGCGCGACGTCCCAATGTGGCATAGTTTGCGAAATGCCTGTTTGATTGGGGAGAAAGAGATCAGCGTCATAAAAGAGAACTATAAGAGGTCTATGGCCGATGACATCGATGATGATGACATGGAACACGCAGGTCACGGGACCGGGGCAGGCACATCTGCCGCCCAGGAACCAACGACCGGGGATGCGGAAGCAAGTGCGGAAGGAGCAGGCACATCTGCCGCTCCAGACATGCACGACGCGACCAAGTCTCCATCCAACCCTGAGGAGGAGTTCCAGATCTCTCAAGACAAGGGAGCAGTCATCGAGGCCATCGACGCGCTCTTCGCGTTGGCTGATAACAATGTTTGTTTGAAGTGCGGTGAGAACGGACATCCCAACTATGAATGTCCGACAAAAGGTGACGATCAAGTCAAGATTGCATTGATCAACCTGAGGAAGAAACTCCAAGGCGATGAAGTTGAAGATAAAGGAATGTCCAAAGAAGATGAAGACAGAGAACAGGAACGTTTCCGACAAGAAGGTTACAAGGCCACAAGGGAAGGAGAATACATGTATCTTCAATCCATCCCATTATCGGTGATCGGTGATCGAGCACATGGTGAGAAGAGCATCAACGGTGTTAAAGTCGTTGAGAAAGGGCCTATGACGAAGAATGCATTGAACCACGTCGTCGATACGGCCAGCCAGAAAGGCGTCACTCTCACCTGCAAGGAGATGAAATCGGCCCTATTGTACTCTGACCACAAGATGTACAAGAAGCTCAAAGTTGGGACCGACATCGGAAAGCTGAAGATCCTACCGGTCAACGGCGGCAAGTTTTATTCCAGCAGCTACGCCGGAAGTGGGATCGAATTTCCCATGCCGACCGAAACCCATGCAAACCGGGTTTACTTGGAAAAATGGGAGAATGATTACAGCTACTACCTCAACAAGGCCTTGCAACACCACATCGGACGAAAAGATGTGTGGGAGAAGACCTACGGTGGAAAGAAGACGATGTTCTCTGGACTCAAGTGTGATGAAGCCGGATGGGTAGACATCATGGACTTTCTGCACCACCCATGGATCTTCGACCACGAGAACGTTCGTCCTGAGGATGACGGACTCATTGACGTTGGCTTCCGAGAAGAACGCGTCAATACGATGATCAAGGCAGTTGGGTCAGAGCTCCAGGAAAAGAACAAGATCCGCATCCAGTTCCTTGCTTTGGACTCCACATTCGACAAGCCCGATGAATACCTCAGGAGCGTCATGAATTGGCGATGACATCCACAAGCTTATCGCCCAACACGGAGAAGTCTTTTTAGCACCAATTGCTGTGCGTTCACCTGGAGGATATTCAGCCCAGGGGAGTGACTTTCGCCTTGACTACAGCAGGGTTTGGATAGCGGATGATCTTTACTTTTGCTACCACGTGACCGAGTTCAGGAATGTGAACGGCATCATCAAAGAAGGTCTTACAAACGATACAGGGAGATTCTGGGGGGACAACTGACTCACCTCGGGCAACCACGTATGGTCCTGGCATTCAGTGTGCACCGACTCATGAGCCTTGGAATCATGGTCAACGCATCTGGCCAGATGGTGATCAATGGAAACCTCCCGTTCTCTGAGGTGATTGCAGCATGGTATCAGGCCAACAACTATGACTGGGAACGACTACTTGTTGATTCTGGGAAGTTCCAATTGGTGAGATCTTGTCAGGAGCCAGAGGAGATTGCCACGGCGAACACAGTTTTGCGTGTCTCCAAAGCTATGCTGAGTGAGATCGACATCGAGGACGACATTCCGTTCTATGACGAGTTTGTCAAGGACATTCAAAAGCTTGAGAAAGCTAATGGAATGTGAGACCCCGGGAGCGAGTTGAGAAACAGTATCGTGACATTCATCGCCGAGAACTACACTCCGAGGGAAGCCGGACATACCATATGTCCAGCATGCCTTACTGAGACTCCAAACAGCCTATCCATCTGCATCCGATGTCACGGATCGTTGGTCAGCTGGGGGGAGAAGTCAGCTACACAAGATGAGAGTGCAGCCCCTGGTATGCCAGAACGCGAACGCCAGAAGAGTGGCGATGAAGATGTCGAGATGAATAAAGATGATCAAGATGAAATCGACCGATTGGTTAGGGAGTCCAAGAAGGCGACCGGAGAGGAATCAGAGGACGATGTGGAGATGTTAGATGCAAGACCGAGCAGGCCGCAAACTGGATCAGGAAGCGGACGTGAACGAACAGCACCAGATCCCAAAGTGGCTTTCGGCAGCAACACGAAAGAACAACAAGAAGAAGAAGAAGATGAAAGAGTCGCCCAGGAACAAGAACGAGATGAAGAACAAAGAGAAGCCAGAATCAGGTTGCCATTGTGGACTACGAGGACGACTCAGGCATCCATCATCCACTGCATCGATATGGCCCAGAATGAGGACGCAATCGATAGCACGGCAAGAGCGGTGGATGGCATGATCCTCACGTACTTGAAAGATCGGTACAAGCTCTTTCATGTCTGGACCTCGATGGCTTCAGCGCAGGCGTATTACGACCACGTGAAGACTCTTCTTCCAGAGTTCGACGGGTACATCCCCCTACGTCGGCGAGGACGCCAACGGCGAACTAAAGGAGCCCACTGAGGAACAACTCAAGCAGTCGTTCAACACCAATGCAAAGAATGGCAAAATTGGTGGCAGGGATCTGGAAGTTGTTTACCTAAGGGGGTCAAGGGCATCAAGGTTCTTTGTAAGATCATGAAGTACCTCGTCCAGACTGGAGTAACACCTCAACTCATCTATTCCAAGGTCGCAGATGTTACAGATGATGAAGATGAGGAACGTCAACTGGCAACACGACGAGAGGCATCAGATTTCATCCGCAAGATCATTTCTGGAACATTCGCTGTTCGATCCTATGATTACTTTAGGGTCAACCCACCACGGCGAGATGACCACATCCACATTGACCCCGTGGAACTGGTATGCGCAGTGACGGAGAGGGCACGTACATTCACAGTTCTCATGACGCTCAATAAGATTGGCCTTGCTCTTCCACAACAACTTCAAAGAGTGTGGGAAGGCAAATTAAAGGCACAGTCACACAGAGCGCCGCGCAGATGGAAGTGAGCTTTAGATCACTAGACCCTTCCGAGCGAGAGAACGCACGACAATATGTACGAGCAGTGGCAGACGCCCAGAACACGGAGGAGGGAGCTACGTCAAGCACGAAGGACTCCAAGAAGAAAAGAAGAAGAAACGGCGAAAAGAGTGAGATGTACATGGTCTGTGTCATGGAAGAACACACATGAGAGGACTCTGAGCGCCGGACTAATTCAAACTTTACCTACGCACATGGGGCACGCAGATATCCCTGTGCGATGGTACAAATTTTCAACGAGTATAAGCTGGGGTAGGATATCCCAGTAGTGCGGCAGAAATTCGAAACAGGGAATTGGAAGCCTGCACGTGTATCCACGGCAGGGAGTACATGAACCTGGAAGGTGCACGGAACACCGACCGCAGATCTGCGACGGTTAGTACGTAATCCTTCATACAATGCTACGTAACAATCAATTCGAGCCGCACAATACAGATCTAATTCGAAACTGGTGAAGATTTTAACATCAATGCGCTGCCAATTGCTCCTGTGCCCGAACGTTGATCAACGACGGGCATGGGGGGTGTGATTGGTATGCAGAACACAGTGCATCACCAGTTATCGCCAGTATGCAAGGAGCGGTAATTCGTTTGAGCGGCATCGGATCCTGTGTTTTCCGTTGCCTTGGCTCAAGACGCGTCTCCCGTATGCGAAGAAATGGCGCGCTGCTGCCGACGTTGACATTAAGGGTAAGAACGTGGCAACGATCATAGAAGGCCGGTACTACAAGTAGAAGATTGGGAGCACAACCCATTCACATATTTTAATAGTTAATCATCAAAGGCTCAAAGGGTGGTTTTGCGGAAAATGTTGCAGTTTTTGGGCCCAAGATGATCCAAGTTTTTTTTGGATCCTTGTATTGTGCAGAGATTTCCCATCATCTTACATGGGTTGCTGTCAAGTTCAGCCAACTTGTGAGAGAGAGATATATATATATATATACTAATAGTAATAATATAGCTAAAAAATAATAAGAATAATAATAATTGCTGTTGTGGCACCACCTTACCTTTCATTTTGCATTTGCACGTTTCAATTCCTTTAACCTGTCAGGTGCTGAACTCAACCTGATGCGTAGCTGTTTTTTCTTCAAGGGACCTGTGGCCAAACTATGCCCGCCAGATAGGGCTGCAAAGCGAGGAGAAAAACCAGAAGAACGAGCAGCTGCGGAAGCCTGGATCCGAAGAAGGCTGTGAATTTTAGGTGGCTGGGCCTGGTGGAGCACTAGGGCTTCATCAGGTTATGAGCCCAAAGCCTGCCCCTGCAAAGATGGAACCTAAAATGCAAAGAAGAAAAGCTACCCCGAAAGAGCTTGAGCGAAATAGAAGAAGCACAAAGGAGGCTGGATCAACAGGTGAAAGATGAAGTAGCGTTAGAAGATAGGAAGGCTGAAGGTGATTCTAAGGAGGCTGAGACCCCCATACCGCCTGAGGAGAATATGGAAAGGGTTAAAGCTATAACTGAAGGTTCCCAGTCTTCAAAAGCTGCCTCACCTGAGGAAATCCGCCCTCTGAAAAATGCGCCTGAGGAACCTGGAGCCACTAAGGAGACTAAGGTTGCAGTTGCTGCTGAAGGTATTTTGCCTTCACCGCAGTCAGCGCCGTCTCAAAGAACTTCGAAAGGTGCAGCCAGTGACCTGAAGACTCCAGAAAAGAAAGATGAAGAAGGACAGCATGGGGTTGGGAGTGTGGAAAAAAGCGTAGCACCTCAGTCAGACCCGAAGATGTCTGAACCTCCGCACATGTCCACGCCCATGACTCCTTTGTTTGATGAAAATCAACTTAGAAGGTTTCAAGAGCTGTATGCACAAGCACCATGGCTATTTCCACAACATGTCCCTCAAGCCCCCTTGTCTCTGATGCGACCTGGGCAGTTCTTGCCTCCGGTCCAACGACCTCTTTTCCTTGAACAAGATGAACGAAGAATGCATGAGGAGGGCCGGGTTGGGTCCAGCGGCTTTCATGGACATGGACATGATAGAAGCATGGATGTAGATAGAGAAAATCGAGAATTGAGAAGGAATTGGGAAGAAGTTTTGAGGGAGAATCAGCTCCTGAGGGAAAGGGTTGATGCGTTGGAGTTTCAAAAGTTGGATGAAGATCAGCGGTTTGCAACTCCAAATGGCTCTGGTGGCCAGCTTGAAAGACCCCCCAAAAAGGAGGCCGATAGATCCCCAAAAAGCCCAAAGGAGGCCGAGACCACCAAGGAGGCTTTCAACTTTCACCGGCCGGCTGTCGGTGTGACCACCGGTTCAGGTGAGAAGGCTGAAAGACCTCCTGGAAGTGGCCCTGACCTTAAAAACCCAAAGGAGGCCGAGACGGCCGAGACCACCAAGGAGGCTGAAAGACCCCCTGGAAGTGGTTCCACCTTTCAAAGTGCGAAGGAGGCCAAGACCAGCTGAAAGACCCCCTGATGGAAGCGGCATAGGTTTTCAAAGATCAAAGGAGGCTGCAGACCCCCACAAAGATGCGAAGGCGTCAGCTGGCGATTCATCAGCTGCGTTCACGGAGAAGCCATTAGAGTTTATGGCATTGTTTGTGGAATCTATGAAAGAGATGCAAAAGAGGATGAACGACTCAAAAGATGAGGCTGGATTGGTGAAGGGTGTTGAAACTATCCGCACTGGCAGCCCAGATTTTCCAGTACTACAACCATGGGAAGCACAGCAGGGTCCGTTGATCTTGGGTGACTGGTTGTTGCTGGCAGAGCCCATAGTCGCCGACTTGTCTCCTACTGCAGGAGAATGGTGGCGATCTACAATCAAAGCTGCTGAGGAATGGCACAAGCTTCACATGAGCTTGGGCCCTTTGGAAAGAATCAAGCACCCCTGTGAAGCACCGCCTGAAATCATTTTGGAAAGGTTGAAAGAAGGGTCTCTTCGATGATTCTTCAAGCTATTCCTCAAGGTGTTCGCGATGAATTGGTTGCCTCCCGAAGAATGACCACGTTCGGGGCAATCACATATCTTTTGGTTGCCTACAGCCCTGGTGGAGTCTCTGAGAAACAAAACACTCTTAGAAGCTTGGAAGAACCACCCGAGATCCAGAATGTCATGGACGCCCCAATAGCACTACGACGTTGGTTGAGGTGGCGAAACCGAGCAAAAGAAATAGGCGCAGTCCCACCGGATCCCGCTTTGCAACTCAAAGGACTGTTGAAAATGTCAAGGAAACAGCTGGAAAGCCACAGGGAACTCCAGTTTAGAGTGTCCTTAGTCCGGTCTGGACTAGGGGTCGATACGATTCCGAATGATGTCAATGTGGAGCAGTTCGCATACCACCTTCTTGCTGAGTTCGAGCAACTGGCTGTGACCGAAAAGAAGCCAGGTGCGTCTGCTGCTGCAAAAGGAGAACCTCCGAAGCTGAAGTCTTTGGAAGCAGAAAAAGGAAAAGCAAAGAAAGGAGATGAGGAGACTGGAAGGTCACCTACAAAAAGAGAAGAAGGGAAGGACGAAAAGCCGAAGTGTCGTTTCTTCCTCACCGACCAAGGTTGTAAAAGGGGAAAGACATGCAACTTTTCCCATGATGTCAAAGATGAGAAAAGAAGATGTGGGAATTGCCGCTGTCCCGACCACATGTCGCCGGCCTGTCCCAGACCAAAGAATTTGAATGACACCTCTCCACAAAAGCCACGACTTTAAAAGGTAGAGGGGGAGGAGAAGTCATCATCAAGCTCAAAGACAAAGGAGGATGAGGGAGGCTCAGAACAGGCCTGACCACTTCTGCGTCCACCGCTTCTTCCTCTACTACAAGTGCTGCAAGCGAACCCCGAGATGAGGTTGTTGAAAGACTTCAGCAACAGCTGAATTCGCTGAAGATGAAGGTGTTCAAGTTGAGCCAAGTTTCTTTTGGAAAAACACAAGGCCTCGTAGACCCAGGGGCCACCCATGCACTCCGTCCTCAACGACCAGGAGAATCATTTGCCAACTACAAGACTGTGAATGTGACCCTTGCGAATGGTCAACAAGCTCAACTACGAATGACTCCTGGGGGGTGATGGTCTCAGAGTGCGCTGATGTGGAGCCGATCTTGCCGATGGGTTTGCTCATTGAAAAGCTTGGCTGCAAAATCGAATGGAACAGCGAAGGAGTTTGCCTTCGACACCCACACCGCGGCATTTCCCGATCCAAGTCAGTGGTGGTTGCCCTCAAATGTTAGGGTCAACAACACTTGAGCTTATCGAGAGTCGGAGCAGACTGCAATCCTGTGGAAAGTCGAAGAAAGAACCTTTAAAGAAGAAGTTGAATGGATGAAAAAGCTGGTTGAAACGCACCCAGGTCTTCCACGTCTTCCACAACGCATAAAGTCCAGGTTAGCTTTCCTGCCAACTTCATGGTCATCCTTGCCTGCAAACCGAAGAAACAGGAAAAGAATGGAAAGGGATGGATTCATAGTCAACATGCTCGCATGTGAAAACTCGGGATTTACACTTGCCCGTGCGTGGCATCAACAAGGAGGTGAAGTTTCAGCCCTCTTGGAGCTCGACATCAGAAGAGGCTCACATCATGACCTTTCAACTGATGTGGGGCCATATGCAGCGTTGATCCGAGCTGCATTGGAAAACAAGCTCCTAGCAATCATCGGTGGCCCAAATTGCCGAAGCAGAAGTGTCTCGCGTCCCTGTGAGGTGTGGGGAACCAAATTGTCCACGACCAGTCAGGTCTTGGGGGGGAGGAGAATATGGAATCAATGTGCAGAAGCCGAAAAAGCGATGATACAAGAAGATGACATCCTCCTCTGGCGCATGATCTTCCTTGCCATGGTCTCCAACTACATCAAAGAAGCGCGACAAGATCCAAATCCTGTTGGCTTCACCTTGGAGCAGCCAGCATCACCAAGGGACTACAAACCAGAAGTTGTCTCGTTTTGAGACACCAAATAGTGGGCTTCTTTGAAGAAGGAGTCTGGCTGGGAGGACACTACGTACGTTTGCACAAGGTCAATATGGTGGCTCCGCTACCAAACCAACAACCTTTGGCGGAAACCTGAAGCTGGAGGTTAACAACCACGAAAGAATGAGGAAAGCAGGAGAAGGTTTGGAGGTGAAGTCTTCAAAAGACCTTTCAAGGTGGGCCCCTGGTGTCATGGCGATGGTTGCAGAAGCCCTGACGACACAAGTGATGCAGCGCAACCCAATGTTGCGACCTCTGAGCTGGGACGAACACAGCGCCCATGGGCATACTCCATATCGTCGAGACTGTGCAGTATGCCAACAAACTTTGCAGCAGTGCGATCCTCACAGAAAAGTTCCATACCCAGTTGGAGGAGTTCTTTCCTTGGATGTGGCTGGACCGTTGATTCCAGCGAAGGACATTGCAGGTCTCTACGCAAGATGGATGTTGGGTGGCACTCTGACATGGGCAGTTCCAGCTGAATCAGAAAAGATGAAAGATCCTGAAGTTCCGAAAGCAGAAGGAGATGAACCTCACTTTGAGGTATACCCCGACGATGAAGAAGAAAAAGATGAAGATAATGCGAAAGAATGTCATGAGGAGGCAGCAGGTGAGGAGAAAGATGAAGAAGATCCAATGGAAGTTTGGGCTGAAGAAGATGAGGTAAAAGAAGGAGGGGAGGAGAAAAAAGGGTATGCCTTGGTCCCAGGGGGGCTCCGCCTGAGCCACCCTATCTCTTGCATGCCTCCACCTGAAAAGAAAGAAGGAGAAGAAGAGCTCAAACCTGGAGGCTTCGACATCAAGATCTTCGGCCTGGCTGCACCTATGATCACCAAAACTGCAAGAGAAGTCACCAAAACGGCAATGGACTTCATCCTCAAGCTCAGAATGGACGGCTTCCACATTGGAAGAATACATTCAGGTCGAGGTCATGAGTTCTCCGGGGTTTTCCGGAAATGGGCCAACTCACGTGGCATAGTGCTGACACGCACACCTGGAGATGATCCTCGAGCGAATGGCCGTGCGGCAGTGAAGAGCTTCAAAACACAAATACGCCGGCTGCTCAAACAAGCCGATGTGGGCAGCGAATGTTGACCATTAGCTGCTCGATATACCGATGCCTTGAACAGAAGCTGGCGGCTTGGCGACGCTCCAAGCTTTCCACCTTTCATGCAGGAGGTCCTTGTGAGGCGTCGCATGGAGACAGGGCGTCTTCGAGCCCACTGTGGAAACTGTCAAGTACTGGACATTGGGTTCAAGGTGAAGAAGAACGGCCAAGAGTCACCAAATACGTTCTTCGAAAAGCCAAAGAACCAATAACAGACCAGAAGTGGGTCGCAATTGAAAAAGAAGCCGCTGATGCTTTGACCACCAGAAGGAGGTTGCGAGAGAAGACATCAGTGAGAAAGATTGAAGTTGAGGAGAAAGATTCAAAGATTGAGGAGGAAGCAGAAGAGGAGAAGGTTCAGCAGTTGAGACAGAGGCTGAGCAGAATGATAGAAGAAGAAATGAAAGACATGGTCGAAGACGACCCTGAAATAGCCGTGGAAGAATTCAAATGGGTAGCAAAAATGAAAAGAATGATGGAAGAACCGAGTGAGGAGGATGAGATTCTCCAAACAAAAGTGATCTCAACAGGAGAGGTTGCCAAAAGTTGGAAAAGCTGGCTTGAAGCCATCGATGCGGAAGCTCAAAGTCTTTTAGAAGAGAAGGAGGCTTTAAAGAAGATTGCACGAAAAGAATTGGAGGAGATTCAAGAGAAGGCTGCAAAAGAAGGCCGCACTGTGGAGATCATACCGGCAAAATTGGTCTTCACAATCAAAGCTGGCCCCAATGGCGGCAAGCGCAAAGCACGTTCAGTGATTTGTGGAAACTATGAGTCCAAAAAGGATTCTGAACAGACCTTTTCAAGCGGTGCTGATGCCGCAGCCTTTCGGCTGTCCATTTGGGCAGCAGCCCGTCACCAATGGGCTGGTGCAGTCATCGACATCAAGACTACATTCCTCAACGCGTTGATGGATCAGGACGACCAAGAAGCTGTCCTGATTGTGAGGCCACCTGCACTTTTCACCGAGAAGGGCTACATGGCACCGGATGATTTCTTCGTGCCTCAAAGAGCTGTGTATGGGCTCCGCTGTTCTCCACGATTGTGGGGTACATGCCGCGATGAAACAATGGAAAGCTTTCAAATCGAAGCAGAAGATTCAAGAGGAGAAAAAGAAAGTTCCATCAACGAGCTCTTCAATCAGAACCAAACCTTTGGAGAGTGCTGGAAATTTCCGATGAAAGCCAAGCCCTATGGGGACTGGTTATGACCTACGTGGATGACATCTTCATCTGCTTATCCCACTCCATCCTGGAGGCCATCAAGGAGAAGTTGCAAGAAACTTGGAAGACATCTACGCCAGAGTATGTCTCCGAGCATCCCATTCGTTTTCTTGGGATGGAAGTGTCAAAAAGAAAAGCTGAGGATGGAGAAAGGGAGGAGTGGTATGTGACCCAGACGTCAT